TTCTATTATGTGGTCTTGGAAGCTGTTCCTAGGTCAACCTAGGTTTGCCCCACCTGTGCTTTCAGTGATTGGACAACTTCCTAATTATCTCTTCATAAATCTCTTTCTACTTAAACTAGCAGGCATGGATTCTAATCTCTACAACCAGAAACATTCACTGGCAAAGTATACCCAGTATGATAGATCAGGAATCTTAGTGAAAAATAATTGATAAACCAGAGCTTTATTTATTTATTTCTTTTTAATTTTAGGTTAGTGCAAACCTACTCTAAAAATAACTCCGAATGTTTCTGGAGCTATTTAATTTCTACTCTCTTTTATTCCATAGTCATTTACAAATGCTGACTTTGTATAATACCTATTTAAAAATGACTTTTGTGGCCTTAGACTTAACAGTACAAGTCTGTTTTCTGGAATATCAAGCCATTATTGACTTCTGAGACTATGCTAGTGCATCATAAGAACTGTGAACCATGTTCTCTTACCTTCATTAATTCAGTTTACAATATTTAAGCTCCGCTTAGCTACGAAGTGTCAGATAGCAACACATTTGCAATTATTTATTTTCAAACACTATTGAGTATAAAAAACTAGAATATGTAATATAATCATTTGAGGCCATGGTGTTCGATTCATACTGATTACACATTTCTTTGGGGATAATTTCTGCAATGAAGCCAAAATATTATTATTATTATTTTGACACAGAGTCTTGCTCTGTTACCAGGCACCAGGCTGGAGTGCAGTAGCGTGATCTCGGCTCACTGCAACCTCTGCCTCCCGGGTTCAAGCAATTCTCCTGCCTCAGCCTCCCAAGTAGCTGGGACTACAGGTGCCTGCCACCAATGCCCAGCTAATTGTTTTTAGTAGAGACGGGGTTTCACCATGTTGGCCAGGATGGTCTCGCTCTCTTGACCTCATGATCCACCCGCCTCGGCCTCCCAAAGTACTGGGATTACAGGCTTGAGTCACCACGCCCTGCTGCCAAAATATTTCACAGAATGTTAAGCATGGGTCTTTTCTCAGTACTTTACACAGTTGTATTCAAGCTTCACAAATCAGTATTGAATTCAGGTGCCCTAAATTTTCTGCTACTGCACATCCAAAATTTCGTTGTACTATCTCTTTGGTGTTATTGTTTGGTGCTTTCTTTCTCTCACTAGCCAATCACCAGTTCCACCCCTCAATGTGTCTTGTCTTTATCCACTTTTCTCAGTTTCTACTCCCATTGCCCTCATTCCAGCCATCAGCATCTCACTGGGATTGCTGTAATAGCTTCCTAACCAGACATCCAATTCTATTCTGCCCTTTCTATTAGAAATACCAAGTAAAGTGATCCTCCCTTGCTTTTATTAAAGCCTTTCCATAGCCTCCCATTTTAACTTAGTGTAAAATCCCTGTGTTTACTGTGGTTTTGCAGTTTGGGTTCCTCAAGCAATCTTTGAGAGGTTGATTAGGGCAGTGAAAGGCAAAGAAGACAGCTGAAGACCATCAGCAGGCAGCACCACCCACAGCTGGGAGAATAAGGGCTTAAGTTCTGTGGGGAAATCTGGGTGGTGCATCACAGGATCACACGTGGCCCAAAACAGTGGGCCCTGCTGACTTCTCAAGCACCAGCCCATGCCTTACTTCCCTCGCTCACTCTGCAGGCATACTAGCCTTCAGTATGTCAGTTCCTAGGAAACTCAAATCCTTTACTACCGCAGGATTCTTGAACTGTCTGTCCTGTGCCTGGAAAGCTTGTCCCCAGCTCTTTATTTGGCTGGCACTCTGTCTCTGAGTCTTCAGGTCTCTGCTTAAATACTGCTTCCTCCAAAAATATCCCCTTTCTTCCTAAATTGTGGGTCAGCACTGTTATTTATTTCCAACACTGCATTTACTTCTTACATAGCAATCATCAGTCTTTGTTTATCTTTCAAATCATTATTATGTGACTTCTTCACAAGGATATAAGGTCCATGAAAAAAGGGAAACCTGTTTTGCCAACACTTGTCCTTCTGATGTCTAATATAGTGCTGGCACACAGTATGCACTTGATAAGTCTATATTGAATGAAGTAATGTAAATCATCACCATGCTTTTGCATTATAGAAGCTTCATGATCGTTCAGTTCAGACTGATCAAATTGATTATGTATTGGTCATACTGTGGCAATTACCTAATTAATACATAATTAACTTGTATAATAATGTATTAAAACAAGCTTAATATAGTTACTAAGAGGAAAGTAATTATTACAGCAACTGTCTTCCTGGAAAAGTATGACATTGTTACCATTAATATGATAATAATAAGTAAATCAAAAACAGCCACCAATGTCTTGTTCAGGGACAAGATTTAAAAAAGAAACAAAAAAAAATGGATTACAAAGAAAGCCTAAGTGTATGGTTATTGGAAAGGGTACCTGGCTGAAGTAAATTTAAATGATAATTACCTTAGAAGGTCACCTCACACAATTATACAAGGCCCATAACATAAATTTCATTAGCAACCTTTGCCGGAAGGTTATTGGTGACACAAATCAACACTCCATTAAGACTAAATGTGTCTTGGCCAAGCTGGAAGTTAACTGATAAAGTAGATTATCATAAGATAAAAGTGAGCAAGGAGAAAACCTCAGGACTTTAAAATAAAAGAAGTTTCCAAAAGGGAATGTTGTGCAATATGTATTCCAATTAAACTACCGTTGAGCAAAGCCGTCCCTTGCTGACTAAGACCTGATTTTATGGCAATTCCTTGCTGTATCTACACATCGTATATAAAAGAGAAAAGTGAGTTAGCAATAATGTATATGATTCGTAAATGACCAATACAGGTCAATTTTCCGGTCAATGTAGTTCCAGGAATTCAAAGGCTATATTTGTCTTCTCATTGTTTTACAAATAATATTTGGGTGTTTTGTTTTTCATGGAGAGAAGTGTGGATAAAAACTTGAATATAATTTCCTTTCAGTATTTGAGCCTTTTGAGCTCCTTTCGGATGCAGAAATTTAAATTCCATGAAGACAAAAATTGTTGCTTATCACTATATTCTCAGTTAAGCATTGAAAGCCCTTAAGGCATGTTTTTTGACTGAATAGTGAATGTCACAGATATTTGAGAATGGAATTAGACCAGAATTCTTCTGTAGCAGTAGAGAATAATTTCATTAAAGAATATTATTTACTTTCTTTATCTTTAGTGCTGCTAATCAGTAGAAACTCAAGTGCAAGGAATTATTTTCTTTTTATATATACTATAATTGTTTAGTAAACTCTACCAGGAATTAAAGCCTATTCGTCTATTACATATATTGAAAAAAATACTGCAAAGTTTTTAACCACCCTTCTTTTATAAGATTCAGGCATAACCATTTTAATAAGTATTATTGGTTTATCAAGTATAAGACATAAAACTTTGGCTTCATTCCTTCATTCTTCTGCTTGTAGAATACACTTAAAATGTCAAAATGATGTTGAACATAATCCCTCTCCTACTCTGCCAATCCTTTGAGCGCCCCTAAAGGTTCTTACCATTTGACATGGACTCTTTTCAGAGAAATGCATCTTCTGGGCTGATTCTTTTTCCTAGGCATGGAGACTCAGTTGGTGTCTCTCTCCACTACTTTGTTGACTTCCTCTCTTTCCTGATCCCCAACATCAAGTGACTCTTGTGCCAGACTCCCATTGACTTCAGTAGGGATAACACTATGTTTGAGGGGCTGAAAAGGAAACCCAGAGTCAGTGGACAAGATGTAGGGTTAATTGAAGGGATTTACACACAGGGTGGTCTAGTGTGGGTAGGCTGGAGAGGAGAACTTCAGCCACTTGTAAAAAGCATGCAATTGATAGAGCATTTTTACTCATCACCCTCCCTTTAGCAACCTCCTTCTGGCAACCTTCATTCAACGCAAAACAAAAGTCCTCCATCTTCAGTACAGCCCCTGTTCCACAGAATGGGCTAGTGATTCAAATGTTCCTAATAGATACGACATGAGTGTCCTTACCTCAGACCATAGGGTCATTCTCAGGGTATGTTTAAGTTATTGCTGTCAGATGTGTCTATCACATAGTGACTAATCTCATTGATAAGTCTTTGGAGAAAAATCTGGGCATGCCCACCTCAGCTTCCCTATTTCATAGTTTCCCTTGTAGGAGCTAGTTTCTTATCAGGAGAGGGCATTCTCTGCTGTTTCTGTGGGAGCAAGCATTTCTGTGCCTTATGGAGCAATCTGCTTTAGTCCAGCATTGCCTGAGACTGGGAGATACATTTTCCAATTATTTTTTTCTTTTGTTGAGATGATTTCACTCATCACCCAGTAGTGCAGTAGTGTGATCTCAGCTCACTACCTTCACCTCATGGGTTCAAGCGATTCTCCTGCCTCAGCCTCTGGAGTAGCTGGGATTACAGGCACCTGCCACCACACCTGGCTATCTTTTTTTGTATTTTTAGTAGAGGTTTTACCATGTTGGCCAGGCTGGTCTTGAACTCTTGACCTCAGGCGATCTGCCTGCCTTGGCCTTCCAAAGTGCTGGGATTATAGGCATAAACCACCAAGCCCGGCCTTCCCAATTTTTATGTGGTAAATGTAAGAGTCAGTTGGATGGTATTCTTTACCCTAGCGTCTATTAGTGGTAATGGTGAAACTTTGATTCTCATCTTCTTATTTGCCTTTTTTCTGTGGGAGTATTGAGGTGTTATTTATTTGGCTCCCTCAGAACGTCACCGTTTTGTTACGTTGGCCAGGATCACTGAGAAATATGTTATAAAGAACAAAACCCCATGTGGAGTGATTAAGTCTGGACTTCAGGCTTAGACTTTCGTGTAAGCGGGGCATGTTGACCTGGCGCTGGGGCTACTGAATCTGTAGTCTCAGTAGACATAATGCCTAAGGCCCATGACACTTTCGGGGGGCCACAAAAATCTTTTCATTGCTTTAAACTCTGAAGAAGTTAATCCAGCTTGGATGTGTTATTTATAACAATGCTGTTGTAAAATGTAACTTTTCATATTTTTTAATAGCACCTCAGAATTTTTCATGAAAGGAGCTTCGAAAGGCAGAAGTGCACAGACCCACGAAAGTCATAATTACACTGCTGCTTGGTCTGGGGAGGCATTTATTCGTCTGGTCAGCCATTTAGCGTGGTGCAGTCGGCTTTTCACTGCTCTGACCTCAGTGAAGTCGTTCATGTGGATGTTGGTCTGATGGACGCATGTACCTTATGGTCACTCTGTTCTTTCCACGGGTGAGTAGTCGCTGCTAATGAAGGCTGAATTACAAGCGTTGAGAAGCTCCTAGCAAACAGCACATGTACAGCCTCGCTCTGAGGTAGAGCCATAAGACATCAGCAAGGGTGCAGTCTCAGGGCACAGGTTGCTACAGCTTTCCCTTAGGGCACACTTGGCAAACATTTCCAGAGCCAAGGACCTCAACAGGCGCTAGTGTGACATGAGATGGAATGAGGATTCTTTACAGGGGAAGTTCTTTCTGCATACAGACCTTTTAGATGTCAGGACATAGAATGTATCTGCTGCTTTTACAGGACAGGACAACTGACAGCTTTGTTCCTACCAAACACTGATACAATTCCACATTTGAAACTGGGATGCCCCAAATTCTATGCTGAGGTGCAAGAGGCACTGTGGAACGATAACCTTGGTTCATGTGGCTGATCTGTGGGATCAAATATAAAAATACCGAAGAACCAATGGCTAAACGGCAAAGGGCCATATGGGAATGAAGCGTAGAGCCAAGCTGCCGGTCAGACTTGCACCACCCTGATTGGGGGAACATCCTTGAGATGATTGCAGAATTCAAAGTGGTCAAAAGATAGCAGCTGGAGAAATCTACATGGGCTCTCCAGATTTCTCAGGGAGGAGGCATTAACATTCCTCAGTGCAGCTTCAGTTCAGGATTTTGTTGAGGGCCATTTTCTAGGTGAAACAAAGGCGGAGAACTTGGTGAACACTTTCTCTCAATTCTAATTTCTTAAACCTAAGCAGTTCCATAAAAAAAGACAGAGAAGGAACTTCTGATGCACAGGACTAAAAATGATTAGTTACCAGATACTCAGGAGGCCGTAATACCTTCTAGAGCTCACACATAAAGCTTTAGTGTCAGAAATACGAGGCTCAAAAGGGAAATAGAAATTATGATGTTTTACTGGTTTGAAAGTAAAAATATTTAGACGGGCACGGGGCTCATGCCTGTAATCCCAACACGGGGAGGATTGCTTGAACCTAGGAGTCCAAGAGCAGCCTGGCAACATAGGGAGGCCTCATCTTTACCAAAAATACAAAAATTAGCCAGGCATGGTGATGCATGCTGTATGTAGTTCTAGCTATTCAGGAGACTGAATTGGGAGGATTGCTTTAGCCCAGGTGGTCTAGGCTACAGTGACCTGTGTTCCTGCCACTGCCACTCCAGCCTGGGTGACACAGCAAGACCTTAACTTAAAAGAAGAAAGAAAATAAAAGGAAAGAAAGAAGAAGAAGGGAGAGAGAGAGGGAGGGGGAGGAAGGAAGGAAGAGAGGGAGAGAGGAGGGATGGAGGGAAGGACAGAGAAAATAAGAGAAAGAAGAGAAAAAAGAAAAAGAAAGGAAGAAAGGGAGAAAGAAAGAAGGGAGGGAGAGAATAGAAGAGAAAGAAAGAGAAGGAAGGAAGGAGGGAAGGAAGGGAGGAAAGAAGGAAGGAAGGAGGGAAGGAAGGAAGCATCTTAAACAAGATTTTTGACTAGAACTGTCAACATTGCATTCAAATCTCTGCAAAAAGACTTAAGTTGGCTGGGCATGGTGGCTCATGCTTGTAATCCCAGCATTTTAGGAGGCTGAGGTGGGCAGAGCACCTGAAGTCAGCAGTTCGAGACCAACCTTGCCAACATGGTGAAACCCCTTCTCTAAAAAAAAAAAAAAAAAAGACTTTAGTCACAAACTCTCTCCCTCTGAAAGGGAGAAAGTATGTATAGGAGGCTTTCTTTTCCAGATATGGTAAATTTATAGTACCCAAATTAAGCTCTTGCTGAGAAATTTCTTCTCTACAAGCTCACAATTGTAGATACCGTACAATTTGGCATCTTTTGACAGACAATTGGTGAAGATAAAACCAAGATATATGTATATACATTGTCTGTATCCAGCCTCCTACACTTGATACTACTGAGTTTCTTCTGCTTTGGCTTTTGGCAATACTAACACAGGGTGGTAGGAATGGAACTTTTCCTGGGATAATTGCCATCAGCAGAGGATTGGCTTGTCTTCTGCATTTGTTGGGTATGGAGCCAGGGCTGCTGATAATCTTATATGTCCTGTGTCTCTTTGGACACTTTGATAAATGAGGAGCACAAGAGACCTGGCATTGAGCTAATGCAGCTTTTCATATCCTAATGTTATTACAGTCATTCAAATGAGAACAAGGCTGGGAAGGTTGCAGGAATTCCAACTCTTTCAATTTCTGGAAAATCCCTCTGACTGAACCTGAGCAGAATAAGAAATTAGGAAAATCATATTTAGATCTTAATTTAGCTTAAGATTTATTTGACTATGGTAACTCACAAGATCAAGTAATTTGATTTTAGACTCTAACTCTTTTATATCTTAACACACTGAGGGATTTATCCCCTCTAAGAAATTTTGAAACTTAACAGTATATTGAAAAATGCACAAAACAAGTATATATCATAGCAAATTATTATAAAGTGATCATTCGAGTTTAAGAAATAGAGCAAGGCCCCCTCCTTGTCATACCTCTTGCCCCCCAAAGATAACCACTAACCCAGTAAACACTTGAGTGGTTTTTAGCACCAAAATATGTATCCCTAAACACAATGGTTCACTTTTACCTTTATATGGACTTTATAAATGAAATTATATAGTATTAGTTTAGGTATGGGGAAATCATTTTCTCGACATGATGTTTGTAAAAGTCGTATATGTGTAGCTCTAGTTTATTTTCACCATCAACTAAGTGCCTAGTCCTGGTTCACTAACAGTTTGGCTAAGCGCAAACCAGATGGTGTCTCTTGGGCCGCTTGGGCTGTTCAGCCTTAGTGCCAGTGGTGCAGAACAGAAAATGAAGTGGTTGTCTCACTTAAAAGGGTTCCTGGAGATTTAAACTTAAGCCACATAGGTTAATTTTGGCGGCAATCAGCATGTTCATAGATCATGAGGAATCCTATAGTTTGGGCTTTTGTCCCCTCCAAACCTCATGTTGAAATTGACCCCCAATGTTGGAGATGGAGCATAACTGGAGGTGTTTGGGTCCTGGGGCAGATTCCTTTTGAAGGGATTAATGCCTTCCCAGTGTGGTGAGGGGAGGGGGGAAAGTGTGAGTGAGTTTTCAATCTGATAGTTCCCAGGAAAGCTGATTGTTAAAAACAGTCTGGCATCTCACACACCTTGCCTGCTCTCTTCTCTGCCATGAGTGGAAGCAGTCTGAGGTCTTCAGCAGAAGCAGATGCTCATGCCAGCTTCTTATAGAGCCTGCAGAAGGATGAGCCAAATACATTTCTTTTCTTTATAAATTGCCTTGGTATTCCATTATAGAAACACAGTCAGACTATGACAAGAATAATGACAATTCATTGTGAACACTGCTTGCCAAGTCCCACTATGATGGCCCACAGAGGCTAAACTCTAAGATATAATGGGTCTCTCTGTTTTATAAAAATTACTTTCTCTCTATTGCATCTGACCCTTCTGGACAAAAGGTCTGAATGTATGTAGAGGATAATTTGGAAAAAGGTAAATATTTAGCTATAGGAATCGCTGCAACCCGGAAACATGATGCGTGAACACCTTAGACCCTGGGAGGTATAGGAAGAAAGACATTAAAGATCTGTCCCCTTCAAATCTGCCCCTAGTGCTTTCCTTATGAAGGAAAGGCCTATTGGAGAAGAAAATGGTCTGTTGTAGACATTTCAAACCGTAGCAGGCAGCTTTCATTTTAATAGATCTGGCATCTCCAGCCTATGGGCTCTAACCACAATTTGACCACCATTCTCCCTAACCATATTGAGAAGTCTGTTGGAAACAGCAGGAGATGGCTCAGTTCCTGCCTCCTTGTCAATGCCTCCAGATGTCTTCTGTACTCCCCACACTGAAGCAGTCTTTCCGTGGAGTGGGTAAATGCTATCAGCTGTGGTATGGATAACCTGGACAAGTTTCACTGACTGCTCTCAGGTAGTGCCTTCCAAACTAAGGACTAGATTCAATTATAAAATTAAACTGGGAAGCCTAAGATTTACAAGCCAATGGGAAGCCACATTAGAGGCACTGTCAACCTGTGTCCCTCCATCCCATATAATGTACCTATCACTTGGAGTGGCTCAACAGTTTGAACAATACTTTCTTTCAGAGGACACCATGAGAATTCATGGGATTGCACAGTTTGTATGGAAGCCATGAATAACCTTGCCTTCCTCCTGAAAGCCAAGTGGGTTGCACCGAAAGAATGATTTAGAAAAATGTCACCAATAGATCATGTATTCCTCAGATGACTGCAAAGACCCCTTCACAGTGAAGCTACTCTCGATTACTTGAAACTACTCCCCAGAGCAATATATGCATACTCTGAGGGTAATTGTTACTCATCATTTATGCATAATCTGAGGGTAACTCTTTCTACAATGAGAGTCCTCCAATTCGAAAGGGTGATGCAAAATTTGCCCTTAAATTTAGCTAAAGTGATCAATGAAACTTCCTCAGCACTGGAAGGCAGGTGCTGATAGTTTGTAGGAATTGTTCAACTGATTGGGTACAGAACTCTGGGAGGAATGGTTGAAATCAATACTGCAGGCTGTCCTCATCCTATTGCTTGGAGTCCTGTTAACAGTAGACTTCATTATGTTCTGTAGGAAACAAACTGAATATATTTGGTCCTAGCCTCTGTTGATCAGATTAGTCACAAAGGTTGATAGATCAGTAGACATAATGGGAAAATGTATTACAAGCCAAGATGTAAAAATGAGGAGTGAATAAGATTGGCAGTTTTCCATGGGTCTTTTATGCCTGTGTTTTTGTTTTGCAAAAAGAGGGTCTTGCTGCTTTTTTTTATATAGACTTATCCTTTCAGGGATATTTGTATAGCAAATAGCTTGGAAGATGGAAATGTTTTTGGATCAGAGGATGGGCTTGTTTACTATTCAGCAAAATAAGCATAGCGATCTTCCTCCAGGCGACAGCGTAGGTAAGCTTACTGCCCAGTGTAAAAGATCTGGGTTTCTAAAGCTTGGAGTTCCTCAGCCATGAC